TATAGTAATTCTTTTTGATATATATATATATATATATATATATATATATATATATATATATATATACAATTTTCCTGACGTTTACCCATGACCAGCCACGCCAACGTTCACATTGACTCACCAGATACCAGTAGACAAGTAGACAAGTGCTATAGATGTGGACATTATATTGCCATATATATATATATATATATATATATATATATATATATATATATATATATATATATATATATATATATAATTAATATCTCGACTACAGTGTTTCGTAGACGAGAGTATATTAATTCTTTCATTTCTCTCTCTCTCTCTCTCTCTATATATATATATATATATATATATATATATATATATATATATATATATATATATATATATTCAATAAAATCGTCATTGTCTTCAACTGGCCTGCAGACGCTTTCGAGATCTCTTGCAACTTTTCTGGACAGTCTCCTTGCTTAAGTTGGTGAATGCTGCCATAATTCTTGCATTCAGTTCATCTTTGGTGTTACAAGGAGTTTTGTTCATATCTTGACCAACTGCGTCCCACACATACTAATCAAGGGGGTTGCATTCTGGGGAGTTAGGTGGCCAGATGTAAAGGTGTGATTGCAGAAATTTTCTAACAGCCATAACTCGGTTTTCCTGCTTGTGTGGCATGGCGCAGAATCCTGATGCCAAATATAGGGTCTTCCAGAAGCCGCCCTCTTAACCCAGGGCAACACTACCTCTTTAAGGCATTTGATGTAGGCATCCCTATTGAGTCTGGGGCCCCGTGGGAAGATAAATGGAGGCATAACTTCGACATCAATAGTGATCTCTCGAAACACCTTTGTAATGACCATTAGACTCATCCAACTCTTTCCGAATCCTCTGCACTTTCCTCAGATTGTCAGCCAAACACCCTGAAATGTTCGTATTGGAGCTTCCAGCGCGAATATCATGCAGTATATCATGCCGCTTCCAAATTTCTGGCGAAGTTAATTGCGTCATGGTGTTTTTTTTTCTTTCTCACAGACGGTGCCCAACTGACCTTACTATACTGTAAAAATCTAAAACAAACAACGTGCATGCGCAGGGGTGAAATAAAAAAATATATATATATAATGGCGACAATTTAGCCATCGCACACAGTTGGCTTTTGTTGAAGGTACTCTTAATCACCGGCAAGAAGAGGAAACTGAAATCTTATGGACACATCGTAAGAGCCAACAATGTTTCCAATGTCTTCCTCCAATGTTCCACCTGTAGCAAATGAAAAAGAAAAGAGAGAAACACTGAGCTGACAATGTCACTGAGCAGACCGAAATATGCTTCAGAGAGACACAGACATTAGTACACAACCGAGACATGGTTGGAGCTGGTGTTCAGTTGAACAGTGACCCTACGGTTACATCTGGTCATGGAACTGATGATGATGATGATGATGATGATGATGATGATGATGATGATCTTGACGACGACGATGTTGATGATGATGATTTTTTTTTTACTAGAGAAAGTGTTTCAAGGTTTGGAGAATTTAATTAACTATTTTTCTCGTCCTAAATCGCAGCCTCTTCTCATTCAAGTCGCCAATCAATTTTCACGCCTTGATAATCAATATAGAAATCAATTAAAAACAGAAAGGCAGGTAGCTACATATTGTCTGTAGACCAGATTGATCGCGTTTGATGTTCAGCAGCAATCAATTAAGATGCTGTAAATCGATAACTAAGACAATTACACTGAATCACAGAGGAAAAAATATCGCTACACAAATAGGAAATTTCAAAATGTCAAATCCGTTTGACAAGCTGAGGGGAATGACCCGGTCAAATAAGAGAAGGTCATAAAATCAGTATCATAAATCAATGGTTGCAGTTAATTTAATATGAACAGAGGTACCATCATTTCAGAAGACTGAATAATGTCTTTAGTAAAGATCTAAATATCGGAAGTTCTCTTATTACATTGAAATATTAATAAAACTTGTTTAGGACATCTCGTTGGTAACGTCATGCGTTCGACCATCAGTGGACACATCACAAGTGAAGCCGGATGTAACGGTGTTGAGATGGATGTGCAAATATGTCTGTAACGGTGTTGGATGTGAGTAACGATTTGAGATGGATGTGTAAATATGTTTTGTTTTTTAACGTTTTTGAGATGGATGTGTAAAATGGATGTGGGTGTTTTTGAGATGGATGTTTTGAGATGGGATGTGTAAATTGATGTGTAACGTTTTAAGATGGATGGTGTAAATATATCTGTAACGGTGTTGAGTTGATGATTGTAAATGTGTAAGATGGATGTTTGTAACGTTTTTGAGATGGATGTGTAAATATGTCTGTAACGGTGTTGAGATTGATGTGTAAATGTGTCTGTAACGTTTTTGAGATGGATGTGTAAATATGTCTGTAACGTTTTTGAGATGGATGTGTAAATATGTCTGTAACGGTGTTGAGATTGATGTGTAAATATGTTTGTAACGTTTTTTAGATGGATGTGTAAATATGTCTGTAACGGTGTTGAGATGGATGTGTAAATATGTTTGTAACGTTTTTGAGATGGATGTGTAAATATGTCTGTAACGGTGTTGAGATTGATGTGTAAATATGTTTGTAACGTTTTTTTGAGTAATGGATTGATGTAAATATGTCTAACGTTTTAACGGTGTTGAGATGGATGTAAATATGTAACGTTTTTTGTAACGTTTTTGAGATGGATGTGTAAATATGTTTGTAACGGTGTTGAGATGGATTTGTTTTTGAGATGGATGTATAAATATGTCTGTAACGGTGTTGATTGATGTGTAAATATGTTTGTAACGTTTTTGAGATGGATGTGTAAATATGTAACGTTTTGAGATGTGTAAATATGTTTGTAACGGTGTTGATTGATGATGTAAATATGTTTGTAACGTTTTTGAGATGGATGTGTAAATATGTCTGTAACGGTGTTGTAAATATGTCTGTAACGTTTTTGAGATGGATGTGTAAATATGTTTGTAACGTTTTTGAGATGGATGTAAATTTGTCTGTTTGTAACGTTTTAATGGTGTTGTAAGATGTTTGATGATGTAAATATGTCTGTAACGTTTTGAGATGGATGTGTAAATATGTTTGTCTGTAAATATGTCTGTAACGTAAATATGTAACGTTTTGGAGATGGATTGAGATTGATTGTGTAAATATGTCTGTAACGTGGTTGAGATGTTGGATGTGTAAATATGTTTATAACGTTTTGAGATGGATGTAAATTTGTCTGTAAATATGATTTGTAAAACGTTGTTTTTGAGATGTAAATATGTCTGTAAAATTGATGTGTAACGTGTTGAGATGGGTGTGTAAATATGTTTATAACGTTTTTGAGATGGATGTGTAAATATGTTTGTAACGTTGTTGAGATGGGTGTGTAAATATGTCTGTAACGTGAGTGAAATAAAGGGTTCAGTTTGACATTCCAACCACCTGAAGAAGGTCGGAGTGTACAACGGCCGAAACATTGTAGTAAATATGGTGACAAAGATGAGGACAATAGTCTGAATAATGTTGTTGTGGATTCCGAGATGAAATTCGGTCCAATGAATGACAAACGCAAGAAATAAAGATAAGAAATTAAATGTATTTATATAATTATATTAATATATATATATATATATATATATATATATATATATATATATATATACAGTCTCGAAGTAGGACTTCCTTAGAGTCTACGTGCTTGTAACTGACATCTACAAGCGGTTACCTCACACTATTACTCTACCTCCAACTCAATCATAATCTCAGTCTTCTTACTCTCTACTCACTCTGACTGATTCTGGGTATTTAACGGCAGCAGTCCAAGTAACACTCTGGTCGAGTCTACTTATATGAAAAAGGGGTGGACCCCATAACAAATGTAAATAGTGTGATTTTCAGCTTTCAAAACGAACTTTTATATTTGAATGTGGGCGTAGCGTAACGGAAAATCGAATTAGAGAGATGGGTTCAAATTCAGGTTTAGCCTCTTACCTTCACTTCCTCAATTTGTCGTTGAAAAAGACATGAATCCATATCTTCTCCCTCTAGCTTTGGGTTAAATAACAGGGTAAGCTACACTCTCCGGCTTTAAGCGCAGTTCTAGGTATGGTTCTGCAAAAGGATGTTGAATATACTTTGGTCCGAACATGTGAGCAACGACAAAGTTTTAGAAAAAATGGAAACAAAAAAGAAACTAATGCTTAACATCAGAAAGAGAGAGTTGAGGTATCACGGGCACAGAATGAGGAAAGAGGGCTTGGAAAATCTGATACTCACAGCATAGATTGAAGGCAAGCGAGACATAGGAAAACAACGCACAACTTACCTGGTGAGCTTGAGTGAATGGATAGCACAGCAAACTTTGGCAAAGATGGTGAAAAGACAAAATTTATTGAGAGCTACAAAAAACAGGACGTTGTAGAGAGCCATGATCAGCTACGTCCTGAGGGGACACGGCGCATAAAGAGGACTAGATTGGCAGCTAGGTCTCATTATTTTGCGGTTGAAATGGCTGGATGTAACCGTAAGTTCTATGCTAACGGTTTCTTGGCTCGCACTTCTCGCTTGTGGGATTCTCTTCCTGCTTTTTGCTTTCCAGTCAACTTTCGAGGGATATTTCTATATCCGGTCTTTTATGTGTGCCAAAAACAACAACAAAGAAACGAAATAAAATAAAAAAAAATGTCAACATTCAATTCAGGTCTGTTGTTAGCGTCTATTTCGAATTTCACTTGTATAGGATAATATACCAGTTCCTCTATGATGGCCATTTTTGAATAACAATTTCTGTAAAACAAAAAAATCGAATATTTATCGGAATATTTCTTTGCCTTAAGCCAGATGCTACATGCTACATAATCCTTTCTCATTACCTAATTTTAGAAGATACCGAATATAGATATGCTGTCATGATGAAAGATTAGAAGCCATTCGCGTCTCTGAAATCTAATCGATGATTTTAGTATTGATAGAATCCATGTTGTGGCATGTCTACCGTCGACAAGAACCAGGTCGATAGCAATAAAGTCCGAGTTGGTCGTTAAACAACAATGTTTGTTCAAGGGAATCGATTAGGAAAATTGCGTGGGACACCGTGACAATAGCTGATGACGCGTTGAAAGAAAATGGGATTGGGAAAAGAAAAGTTTGAATGTATGAAGGTGAACGAATAAGTACAGGAAACGGAAAAAAAAAGTTTTGAAAGAGAAAACAGAGAATAAAAAACAAAAAAAAGAAAAAGAAAAAAAGAAAGAGAAATGAAGAAAAGAGCGGGTAAAGAAAATTAAAACAAATTGTCCGAAAAGATAAGAATGAAAGAAGAGAAAGGAAGAATGGGAGGTAGAAAAAAAGAAAAAAAAAGAAAAGAAAACACAAGTGAAGAAAAGATGAAAATGAGAGAAGGAAAACGAGGAAACAATGAACGAATTTCTTATTGGAAATTATAAAGAATGAAGCAAGGGGGAAAAAGAAGAAGAAATCAAAAAAGAAAGTATAAATGAAATAAAAGAGAAAAAAGAAAATTCTAAAAGAAAGAAATAATAAAAAATAAAGTAAATAAAATGAAAAATGAAACTTTCTTACAAGAAGAAAGAATTAGAGTGACAAAAAAAGGAAGAAAAAAAAGAAAGAATGAATAAGAAATAGAAGAGAAATGAAAAATTCTGAAAGAAAGGAAGAAAGAAAAAAGAAATAAAGAAAGGAAAAAAGAAAGAAAGAAAGAAAGAGTAAATAAAATAGAAAATAGGAATAAAAGAGAACAAGCTTCGAAAGAAAGAAGGCAAAAAATAAAGAGATAAAGAAAGAGAAGGCAGAAAGAAAAAAAAAGAAATCTTTTTAACCAACAAAAAAAAAAGAGAGAAAGGTCGAGAAGTAAACAAAAGAAAGAAGAGAAAAGGAAAAAGAAATGAAAAGAAAAACAATAAGTAGTCTATCAATTGGTGTTTCGTCAGAATTCTTTCTTCCTAATCACTCACAGTAATGGAGTTGTTAATGCATTTTAAGTAAGCAAAATCGTAAACAATAAAAATTATAGTATTTACATGATAATAATTTACGTAATTAAAATATTTAATCCTGAGGTATATTTTGTTATACTAATGTTCACCCAATAAAAGGCCCAAGAACCACTATTTCTGTGTGGTCTTATATGAGCGTAAGAATAGTTCAGAAGTAAAGTTCATAAATTTATACAGGAAAGAAAATGGTTAACCCTAGACTTGGGAAAACACGGCTGCAGAATAAATTTCAATTTCACCCACTGCGACGCGAATGAATCTGAACTTTTATTGTCTATAACTCCAAAATGGTAGATTTTATCAAAATTTCTTTGTTATTTTCGAATAAAGCATGTACATTTACACCTAGATGGAACTATTTGGGAAATTTTTATTAAAAACTGGGCGAGGGGCTTGAATTGCAAATTACCCTCGAGTTGAGATTAGTTTTGTCACCCGGAAAACATCCTGCCGGGACTCCACACAGCAGCAGTTCTCGGGAAGAAACTGCCCGAATGGAACTTACTCCTTACAAATGGAATACAAAGAGAATGGGGATGATTCGCACTTGTGTACATGGCATGGCGGATCCCAGTTATAAAATCCAGGAATGCTAGGACTAAGGAATGTAGCTCTTGTAGAACACTTGCCATGGAAATAGCGATAGAACAGTGAGAGGCTTGCAACTTTTCGTTCGTGTGAAAGGGTTTGTAGGATGGAAAATAATTCATCATCCACGAGGCCGTGTAGATGCTTTTAAAATCAAGAGATGCAAGTGAGGGCTGGGTAAGGTCCAGATCCAGATATGGCAGCAATATTCCATTTTTAGTCTGCTCTGGCTCTTGTAAAGATATAACGAGAGATCAGATACTTACAGGAGCACTAGAATGAACCGATTATTGTTCCAGCATCTTTGGCAATAGATCGGATAGATGTGTTCCACTTTAGGTCTGGGGTGAGCTTTCCAATAAGGAAATGATCTTCCTTGTGAGAGGACCCATCCATCATGTTAGGTGAAAGTTCGGGGTCTGCTCTGAGTTGGCAGAACGTTACTAGTTACTGGTTTTGCCCGTATTGGATTTTACAAGTCCTTTCCCTATTGAGCTAATGGACTAGGTCAAAGGAGAGATGAGATGCTAAGTTCTGGTCTTCCAGATTTGGGGAGGTGCACCAATAAACAGTTGTATCATCCGCAGAGATAGTCACCAATAATCGGAGTCTGCTCTTAGATCATTAATATGTTAACATATATCACCAGAGATGCAGGGAAAATGGTCAGTTCCCTGTACCGCTCTAGTAAGTATCTGGCCCTCATGCTAGCCTCTGCGTTTGCAAAAGCCAAATCAGGCCCAAAAGGGGGTACTGTTGTCATATTTGGTTGGGAGCTGCCCACTCCTCACTTTAGAGTCTTGGTAGAGTTCAAATGAGTCTCCCAGTCCTCTTGGGTGATGAATTATTTTACACCCTCCAACCTTTCTCTCTCTCACAGGCGAGATATGGCGAGCCTCTCACTGCTCTATTGCTACTATCAAGTAGAAAGTGCTCGGACGAACTACATTCCTTGCTTCCGCCCGGTCTAACCTTCACATCTACGACCCGCCATGCCACTTCCATAGTAGCAAACCATCTACATTCCCTTCGTATTCCATCGGTGAGAAGTAAGTTCCACTCGAACAGCTTCTTTTCGCGGACTCCTGCTCTGTGAAACCGACTCCCAAGAGGATGTTTCCCATACCACAATCTTAACCTGTTCAAATCTAGCGTTAATCGTTATCTTTCCTTCTTATCCATATAAACTGCCTCTTAAAATAACCCTCTTCCACAAGTGGCTCCCAGGCCTTGTACAGGATAAACCTTACTGTAAAAACAACAAAAAAAAAAAAACAATAAAATAAATGCCGGCTATTCGTTTCTCGAGCACACCCGTCTACTAGGGTGGCTAACTAATGCCGCTTGCAAACACCTGTTCAGTCAATGTTGTGTTTGTTAAACAGCCGCATAGCTTACCCTTAATTTAGATTGTAAGTATGCTGAGCGGACCTTAGATATAGTGTCTGGGAGTGACCGTATAATCTGGTATGATCAAAGGTTGAACAAGACCAGTACACCCCAACACTCGATCACGATGACTTGTGACTCCGTGCTAGCAAAACACCGGACAGCCTCCGAACAGATTCGTCTACCCTATTCCACCCACAAGACATGAGTTAACCGGCAGTATTGTTTTCAATCATTTTCCAATATTACCGCACGTTGGGATCGCCTCCCCATGCCGATAACATCAAGAAGCCACCTTCCTGACGAATCGACCATAGTGAGAATCGAAACAAATTCTCATAGTCGGCAAACGTACTTGATAACTACTCGGCCAAGGCGTGGGTTGTAATGGTCAACAAGCTAGTCTCGTGGATCATTAACACCACCACCATAATCGCTCTCTAATGGGATTATCTAATGAGATTATCTAACAGGATTATCCATTGTTATTAAAATCTGTTTTACAGACAGTATTTTCATCTCATCTTTGTACAGTTTCATTTGATTGATTGATTTATTTTTACGGGTTATCAACCCATTGTAGGTGTTATAGCATACTTACGGACGATAATGGGTATGTCCCCATTCACATAAATACAGTAGTAAGTACTGTATGTTGGTCTGCAGTTGGAGATTCGTCTCCAGCTGTGCTAGTCAAACTCTCTGCCTACGGACAGAGAGGATCCCCAGACGAAGCTATGTCAAAGGGCAGAGTTTCGTCTCGGGAAAACAGCTACCCGACCCCGTTTTATACGGGGTCTACGGGGAATTTTTGGCCGTGCCTACGGGCTTGGATTACCCTACATTAAATTCGGCCTTGTGCCACATCTGACCGCTTGGGGCGGTTGGTAGATATCCCGCAGTTGGAGATTCATTGTAGAATTCACTTGACTCACTTCTAGCAGTTGACTATTACTTCTACGCGCCGCTGGCGAATCTTATATGCGTTGTTCTTGTCCTAAGTATTATTGTTCATTACCAACCTATTCTATTCCTTAGGTTACAACAGTAGGTTATTTAAAGCCAGAAAATAGAGAGATAATAATGATTTAGTGATACAAATCTTACTAATTAACCCATAGCTATGGGGAGAAGAAGTGGATTCATAACTTTCCCAAAGGTATTTGCGCGTAAATGAATAAAACGAACCTAACTGGAATTGGAACTCTCCGAGTAAAAATTCCGAGCCATTATCCATTACACCACCCGCACATCCAAGCTTACATCACCTGGTATTCCCAAGTGGTCACCCATCTAGACACTGACCAGTCCCTGCTTCTCCTGGTTTTTAATCCAGTATTATACTTCTCCTATCCTAGTTGACAGCCACAGCTAGAGAACCCAGTCTACTCTGCTATTTGACCCGTAGCTATGGAGGAGGAGGGGTGAAGAGATGGATTTATGCCTTTCAGATGTGAAAAAGAGAGTGTAACGAACACGAACAGGATTCGAACTCGTTTTGATGATTTCTCTCCGCTATTACGCCAGCCACCTTCGACTCTCACAGGGTGCCTCGTTACGGAAACCTTGTGCCAGACTAAGTTAAGCTTATAGAAGAAAAAAAGAAAGGACGAACAGAGAGAAAGGAAAATTATGTTGTAGATGCCAGAAATCGAGCAAGAAAAAAGAAGCTAAAGAAAGAAAAAAAAAGATAGGAATACATTTAAGAAAGAAAGAAAAAAGAAAGAAAAAGGGAAGAAAGAAAAAGTAAAGAAAGAAAAAGTAAAAAAAGAAAAAAAAGAAAGAGTATGCCGTAGAAAACAAGCAAGAAAAGTAGAAAGAAAAGAAAAGATTAAATCAAAAAATAAAAAAAAGGAAAAGAATGTTAAAGAGAGAAAGAAAGAAAAAAGAAAGGTAGGGAAAAGAATATATTTAAGAACGAAAGAGGAGAAAAAGGATGAAAGAAATAAAGAAAGTAAAGAATATGTTTAAAAAGATAAAGAACAAGAATGATAGAGGAAGAAAAATAGAAAAGAATATGTTGAAGAAAGAAACAAAGAAAAGAAAGAAAAGAAAAGAAAAAGAAAAAGGAAAGTGTATATAAGTATTATGGCGGAAATAATTAATTAATTAGAAATGTATAAATCTGTTCAAAAATACATAAAAAGAAGAAAGCAAAATTAAAATGAAAGAATTTTAAATTGGTTTGGTTTGGTTTGTTTTGATTCACGGCATATCAATCTCAATGGGTTATTTAATGCCGACTAGATTTTTATTGCTGGTAATATTTTTCCCCCAAAAATGTATTCCTGATAATAATTTTTTTACAAGTTATTTCTGGTATTAAAACCTATTTTTACACTTCTATAGTGTTTTGACCCCAGTTTGGGGGTTAACTATTTACTCCTAGCTGGGACCCTAACAGGTGCTACCACCTCGTGTTAGGGTGGACTTGGGAACACCAGCAATTAAGAGGTGATTCCACGATCCACAAAACCTCCTGATCAGAGGCCTTGCCGTCGGACGTAGTTTATCGTCATACCCAGGACGCGGATGTAGTTTAACGTCTTACCCAGGAATTTTAAATTGGATAAAATAATGGGAAAGTAAAAAGAAAAGGGAAAAAAAGTAATGGAAAAAACTCCAAAAAGATGGGAAAACCTTTGAAAGGAAGTAAAAAAAAATAGAAGTATGTGATCAGTATATGAGTAAAGAGGGTGTAAAAAGACAAAACTCGAAAGGCATTCTTTCAAATGAAAAAAAAAGAAAGAAAGAGTAAAGAGTATGTTAAAAAAGAAAAAAGAGTGAGAAAGATAGTGGAAGAAAGAAATAGAAAAGAAAGAAAGAAAGAAAGAAAGAAAGAAAGATAGAAAGAAATAGATTGTGAGAAGTTGGAAAAGAAAGAAAGAAAGAATAGAAAGAAAGAAAGAAAGAAAGAAAGAAAGAAAGAAAGAAAGAAAGAAAGAAAGAAAGAAAGAAAGAAATAGATTGTGAGAAGTTGGAAAAGAAAGAAAGAAAGAAAGAAAGAAAGAAATAGATTTTGAGAAGTTGGAAAAGAAAGAAAGAAAGAAAGAAAGAAAGAAAGAAAGAAAGAAAGAAAGAAAGAAATAGATTGTGAGAAGTTGGAAAAGAAAGAAAGAAGGAAAGAAAGAAAGAAAGAAATAGATTGTGAGAAGTTGGAAAAGAAAGAAAGAAAAGAAAGAAAGAAAGAAAGAAAGAAAGAAAGAAAAAAAAGTCGCCCCCTCCCAAAAAAATAAAAAGAAGAGGAAGAAGAAAACAAAGAGAGGAAAAGGTTCAATCGACACTGCTTACAAATTGACGGTTTGTTCGGGTATTCAGATAAACGTCTGCTCGGAGACGAAATCCGCACCTCCACTTCGGTCGGTCCAAATCTCACTTTTTCACATCCTCCCCCCCTCCCCCGTCAAACGACGCAGGTTTCGACATTTAATGATCGTCTTTATATTAAGGGCGGGGCTCGTTAATTGCGAACAGCGATACGAGGTCATTGCGATAAACGTTCGCCTGAATGTGGGTTGCTTGACTTAAATATAGGAACAGCCGTATCTTACTATCAAACATGGGCTTCTCGACTTCCCTCCATTTCACTTTACTCCAATCCCTCTCTCATTGCCGCTCTTTATCTCAAACTCCTCCTCTCGCCCTATTCGCCGCAATCTCTCCAATCCTATCTCCCTCTCTTTTTCTCGCGTTTTCTCTCTAAGTTTCTCTCCTATTTCCTTCTCTCTCTCTCCTCACCGCCCCTCCTTCATTCTCTTTATTGATGGATAGAATCTTAATCTCACAGTTGACAGCAAGCGATTTAGATACTCACTGGGTGACACGTAATTAATACACCGAGTTAGACTAAGTTCAGTCTAGATAGTTATCAATCTATACGGACATTCCCAAAATAGATATATACATATCTAGTTTTCCAATAACGAAATTCCTTTTCACATTGATAAATCTGAATTCAAATTTATCTTTATATTAAAAAAAAAAAGTGGATTTAAAAAAATTATTTTGAAAATAAAAATATGCTTAGATTTTTTTTCATAATCCTCTACGTGTTGTCTAGAATATCCTACACAAAGTTATATATATATATATATAAACACACACACACACACACACACACACACCCCGGGGCAATTTCAGTGGGAGAAGGAAAATCTTTTACTTTTTTTTGTTTTTTATTTACAGAATTTTGTCTATATTCAATTCCAGTATCCTGGCTTTTTACCGAACGTTTTGTTTATTGAAGTATGCTTCAGTTTATTTACTTAATAATTATTTATGAATTAAAACAAATTCAGTTATGTGCCATGCGTGATACACGCTTAGGCGATCATGTATCTTTCGATACATGACTGACGAGGCAGTTTTTTTCCCCCGCAGTAGGTTACCATTTCTTTCTGCGGTGGACCAATTAATATTCAAGGCTATAGAACCCGGTTTAGTCCTGCTATTTACCCATAGTTGGGAAGGGGGGGAGAAGAAGAGGATTCACGCCTTTCTCAAGTAAGTGAATGTATTGGATTCGACTGGAATTCGAACTCGGCTCTCCGATTCCTCAATCCGAGCCGCTATCCATTACTCCACCGTAATAGATAATGGATCGGAATTTTTAATCGGAGAGCACAGTTTCAATCCCCTTTTGGTTCGTTATATTCACTTCGGCACAAATACCCTTGGGGAAGGTATGGAATCACCGCTTCTCTTCAGCTATGGGTTAATTAGTAAGACTTGTATCGCTAAAGCATTATTATCTCCAAAGAAAAATAATTCTTACAATTTAAATACATTTTCTGGCTTATAAATAATAATTTTAATAGCATTTAACAGATTCACCGTTGCTCTAACAAATTCAAAGTGTTTGCGGGGGGGGGATACTAGTAACACTCGCACAGCCGACATCGGCTGCCTGATATGATATAAAGACATTTGATTGTCCAAATGAAAATTGGCAAACTGTACGTGAAATAACCAATCACTGAGAGCGTGGAATAAACGGAAAGACGCCAACTATTCGAAAAAAAATATTTGAAGGGCAATAGATGGAGCATTTATAGACAGGGTGGACACAGGGATCAACACTGTATAGTGACTGTCAGTTTCACTCTTCAACGAGATCAGAAGAAGAAATTTTGGTCTGAACATCGCATGGAAGCTTGTAACTAACAGTCACCATGCACTGTTGATTTTTATGCACGCACGCCTTACGGCCATATCATGTTGAAACACCGGTTGTCGCACGATCACCAAAGTTAAGCAACGTCGAGCCTGGTCTTTACTAGATGGGTGAACGCTTGGGAATACCAGCTGCTGTAAGCTTGGATGTGCGGGTGGTGTAATGGATAACGGTTCGAAACTGGACATCGGAGAGCTGAGTTCCAATTCCAGTCGGGTTCATTATATTCATTTAATCGCAAATACACTTGGGAAATGTTTGAATCCCCCCCCCACCAGCTAAGACTAAAATAGCAGGAGTTGTATCACTAAATCATTATTATTAAAAAAAAAAAAATTCCCAAGCGGTCATCCATCAAGTTACGGACGAGGCTCGACATTACTCGACTTTCAACGTGATATTGCGGTAAGTCTCACTGATGAAAGACAAACAGACAGACAGACATATAGATAGATAATGAAAAGAATGTGATATATATATATATATATATATATATATATATATATATAGATAGATAGATAGATAGATAATGAAGAGAATGAGATAGCTAGATAGATAAATAGAATAAACAGATAAGAACAGATATAGATAACGAAGAGTATGTAGTAGATAAATAGAGAGATAATGAAGAGAATTTGATAGATAGATAAATAGAGAGATAGAAAGAGAGAGAGAGAGAGAGAGAGAGATAATGAAGAGAATGAGATAGCTGGATAGATAAATAGATAGGTAGGTTGATGGATAGATAATGAAGTGGATGTGAGAAATAGAGAAAGAAAGAGAGATAATGAAGAGGATGAGATAGATAAATAGAGATATAGAAAGATAGATAATGAAGTGAATTAGATAGATAGATAGATAGATAGATAGATAGATAGATAGATAGATAGATAGATAGATAGATAATGAAGAGAATGAGATAGATGGATAAATAAATAGAATAGATAAGAACAGACATAGATAGATAGATAGATAGATAGATAGATAATGAAGAGATTGTGATAGATAAATAGAGATAGAAAGAGAGAGAGATAATGAAAATGAGACAGGCAGATAGATAGATAGTGATTTTCCAAGCGTAGCTTAGATGTGGCACAAGGCCGAAATTAGGGAGCACCCAGTGAGGATCGAACTCACGACAGATAGACAGATAGATAGATAATGAAGAGAATGTGATAAATAAATAGGGAGATAGAAAGAGAGAGACAGATAATGAAGAAAATGAGAGAGAGAGATAGATAATGAAGAGGAAGTGATAGATAAATAGAGAGATAGAAAGAGAGAGATAATGAAGAGAATGAGATAGATAGGTAGATAATGAAGAGTGATATATATATATATATATATATATATATATATATATATATATATATATATAGAGAGAGAGAGAGAGAGAGATAGATAGATAGATAGATAGATTAGGAATAGGGTCTGAAGATTGCTTGGGAGGTGAAACTGTCAGTCAGCATGCTGCGTTGCTTTTCATATCCACATTGTCTATATCTTTAAATATTAACAATAACATCAGTTTCATTAAAAACTTTCCCCTTTTCATATATTTCTTTCCCGCCACCAACACATCTTCCTTTTGTAACGTTTCCTTAAAGTTTAATTATTTTAATATCATTCGGCAAAAAATACTTTTATATTTTTTTGTCTTTTCTCTCACTTTACATTTGCAACATTTTTCAAATCATTTATTTCTGCTCAATTGTTTTTTTTATTGCTTCTTTTCTTTTCAGTTTTTCTCAAATCACTTTTTATGCTATTCTTAAAGTCATTTTTTTCTTTTTTTTTTCTATGTTGCTCATGTTTACAATTTTTTCTTTCATTGTTCTCTGCTTTCTATTCAATGGTTTTTTGCGATTTCCAACGTTGTATTACCAGCACTTCACTTAAGAATCTCTTCTATTTTGAAGTACACTATTTACATTATTCGGACTATTGTCCTCATCTTTGTCGCCATATTTATTACAACGTTTCGGCCGTTGTACGCTCCAGCTTTCTTCAGGTGATTGGAATGTTGAACTGAACCCTTTATTTCGCTCACTGGGGTAGACTGTTCTAGTTCCACGTGCCATGTTTTAATGGATGTCAGTTATCAGTTATCTCCTGTTAAACTCCCTCTAAAAGTTCTCCACTGCCTTAACCAGGTATTGAACTCACACTCTTTGGGTCCTGTCACTGGATCTAACCAACGCCTTTATCCACTGTGCTTGAGGACATCTGTGTATGTATTTCTGGGTATTATAAACCTAATGCTTTCAGTAACCATTTTTTACCAGTCCTCATATTGCAATTTTTGCTGTTATTATTTACATGTTTTTACCCCTTTATTTCGCTCACTGGGGTAGAACAGTCTACCCCAGGGAGCGAAATAAAGGTTTCAGTTCGACATTCCAACCACCTGAAGAAGGCCGGAGCGTACAATGGCCGAAACGTTATAATAAATATGGCGAGAAAGATGAGCACAATAGTCCGAATAATGTAAATGATGTACATAATACTTCATCTCAGAAATATAGACAGATAATATTTTGAAGTGTTAACTTTATGACCCCTCCACCTGAAAACTTGATATTTTAATTTATATTAAATAATAAATAACAATTATTATATTTTAGACACAGTTATTTGATTAAATAAGAAACAAGTAGGAAAAACTTTATAAAACATGTTTCACTTTAGCTTAATCGTAATCCTTTAGGAATCCGGGAAACATGATATTTCGATATTTTTGAATTCTATACAATTTGTTTTCATTGGTCGTGTAGATGTCACGTGATCATTTTTTGTAGCGTTAGTACGTATGTACGTGTGTCTAAATTTTTAGTGGGCGTTCAGTTTATGTCTTGTGGTGTCTGTACATGTGTTTAATTCCTGAAACTCTAGTGATATCTATTTTCAATATGATGAGTAGCATAATAAAAGATCACAGCACCAAATAAGTTATTAGAAATAATGATGGCAGGCTACTTGTTTCCGAGCACAACATTTGTTTGGGCGGTTAACCAATCACTGGCGGGCTACTTGTTTCCGAGCACAACTTCTGTTAGGGCGGTTAACCAATCACTGGCGGGCTACTTGTTTCCGAGCGCAACTTCTGTTACGACGGTTAACCAATCCCTGGCAGGCTACCACACGCTGGGATCGACATTCCGAGTACTCGACCAAAATGACATTCGTACTTGGGTCCCATGGTTGAAAAGCGAACGGCCACACGCCCATTTGTAAATATCTCAGCTATTTGTGGGACACCCAGTAAGTATCGAACTCACTTCTGTTGCAATGGTGTTTAGAACTGAACCATTAACCTAATCTCCTGTGAAGTACCCAATGCAATAGTTTAAGGTATTTCTTCTTCACGATATAGGAGATTATGGAGCTCCACACTTCAATTATATATCCTTTTTCCCCTTTTCGTTCTTCTGCTTTGGTTCCACAACTTCGTATGTTTTTGCCCTCGTCTTTTTCTTCCTCGCCATTCTTCTGCCACTTTCCATTCCTCTTCGATATCATTATCATTTTCTTTCTGTTTTAATTTTCTCTTGTCCTGCTCCCATCCATCATTCTCATCTCGTCGCCTTCATCTCTTTTACTATCCACTGATTTTTACTCGAGCACTTAAATCCCAATAACGTATATTTTATTTATCGCATTTCGGTCATTGATTTTATTTATCGCATTTCGGTCATTGGAAAGGAAGAATTTGTAATCTTCTGATGCTTCGCAGATATATGAATGGATAATCAAGTTATCGTTACAGATTTGGACGAACTTAGTCTCCGGAGCGTGTTTGTATGGCAGTCAGCTTACATCGTCCAGAACAGGATAAAATAAAACGAACTAAGATCGTGTTGCGTCATCTTTCAAATGGTGAAAGTCTATTTGCCTTAACACCTTCGATTTACGCTGATTCATGTCAGTTGTGGGTGTACTATATATATATATATATATATATATATATATATACGTGTTATGCGTGATACACGCTTAGGCGATCATGCATCTTTCGATACATGACTGACGACAAATTTTTTTACCGCAGTAGGTTACCATTTCTTTCTGGGGTAGACTAGTTGGCATCCAAAGCTGGAGGGAAAAGAAGATTCATACCTTTCCCAAGGGTATTAGCACGTAAGTGAATGTAATAGATTCGACTGGAATTCGAACTCGACTCTCCGATTTCTCAATCCATTACTCCACCGTGCCACACACACACACACATATATATATATATATATATATATATATATATATATATATATATATATATATATATATATATATATATATATATATTATATAAATTAGAAAATATAGTTTTAAGAAATTTTATATTTTTGAGTTAAACTGCTCAATATCGGGGATAGAGCTTATGTAAATATAGAAGAAGAAGAAATTAAGGAAAGATACTTTCGATCATAGACACGTAGATGTCGATTCCACGGAATCAATAGCGACCTTACGGAATTGGTAGGCATCGGATTTGGGCAGGGATATGCTCCACCATGTCTACTTGCACAAGACCCACGACACATGAATGAATATCTTTCCGACTTTCCGCCCAGACAGAGGGAACTGGTCAGGTAACCAGCTGAGCAAAAACGTCCGGTCATAGGACTGATGATGGGGGTGAATATTGATCCAGACTTGCTGATCGTTTAAAATAAGAAAAAACATCCATATTTTCCGTATCAGTTAACCCTTCCTGTTGTCCTACATTCCTTTCAAATTCGTTACGACACGTGACCCATAACCCATTATGGCGGTGGGGGTACAACATGTACTGCAGCCATAGCAGAAGAGGTGTGTCTAGGGCAAGATGGTCTGATGAAAACCATTCCTCTTCAGGTTGGATTATGAAGTTATTTTTTTTTCCTATATTATATGCCACCCCAACGAAAGATAACCGTCAGTCTTGCAGTTTATCCCATTGGTAAGAGGATAATAAATGGATTCAAACCATTTCCAATGAATGGTCGGATCATCAGCGACTAGAATTATTCCTTCATCATGCTTTTGAGCTGTTGAGTAGGATGTCTAGACATCCATCAGAATTAAAATCAAAACCTGTCAAAGGGCTGATGAACCATTTTTTTCTTGCCAGCAGCCATCTAACCCAATGGGGTAGATTAGTATCAGTAGTTATGCATGCAGCCAGTAAAATGATGACAGAGGTCTTCCTAGACTGGTCACATTGCAGCTTCTCCCGATAGACTCAACGACCACGTATCAGAGACCAAGACGGGCGTAATAGTTAAAGGTTTAACCTGGTTTGAGCTGGCGACGAATGGACTCTTCCAGGTATAAATGCTCAAGACACGCTACGTATTGAATGGATATTTCTCCGGCTTTCAAACCAGATATGTGAATGGAACTGCTCAGGTGGTCAGCCGCGGAACGACTCTACAATCATGGGACTGAGAGGAATTGTAACACAGACTCACCATTCTGCAGGACTGTGTGAAGGAGGATCTCTCTAGGAATAGCTTATGAAATTAACCTGCTAGATATCGTTCTACGGGAGGAATAAAACCGACTTACTTGTCACGTGTCTCTTTTGATGGGATTTCATTTCCGATGTCAAATTCTCTATGGCTAAAGCTGACTGGTTGCAAAGCATAGCTATTATTTAACAAATATTAGACTGGCACAAGGCTACCTTTACCCAGGCCTCGTTACCAATGGCTTTCGAGATTTATGTGCTATTGGTATGCAACCAAAGAGAGTATGTTTAACGATAAATCGAAACTTCGTGGAAATGATACATCAGAATGCAATGCCTCCTGCATTTAAAGAGATATTTCTGAATCAGCAAATCTAACTGCAACTTGACGACGAATTCTTCAAAGTCATTAAAAAATGTTTAAGTGAAAGAAGGACTTAATGCTGGCAGGGCAAGAGAAAAATGTATGAGGAGCAGGTGGGTATGCGGAAGGGGAGACCCAACCGTGGGTGTTAGTGTGTGGGGACGCTTTGCCGAATTAGTCATTATGACTCACCAAAGTTTTCGTCATCCTATTCCAGCTTCTGGGAGAGCCTGCAATATTCAGACCACCTCCCCCACCTTATACCAAAACATTGCGTTCTTCAGGAGAGTAGGAAAAGTAGGTGGAGAAGAAGGGTTACAGTAAAAACGTGACGCCTTTCTTCGTACACCTTGATCGTATACAGGGTGATTGAAAAGTAACTCTCCATTTTAAAATACTTATAATTTATTTATTAACTATAATTTACAAGAAACGGATATGAGAGGAAAGCGTTTAACATGAGGTTTTACTTAAAATTCGATATAGGCACCAGATTTCGCTACCAGCTTCTCGAACCGGCCAGGAATCGTGTCAGTTGATTTCACCAGGAATTCTTGTGGTATGGAAGCCATAACTTCATGTATTCGCCCTTCAAGTTCTTCCATTGTCTTAGTTTGTTACAGTAGACTTGCTTCTTTAACCAACCCCAAAGAAAAAGTTATAGGATGTTAAGTCAGGACTCCTGGCTGGTCGGTCATACATAAAATAGGGAGTTACTTTTCAATCACTTTGTATATAACTTAAGCATGTAAGTTTTTTTTTTTTCGGTTAGGATATAGCTAATACCATATCGTTACAACGCCCGGAGAGGGAATTGTTATTATTGATACAATAAAATTAAAAAATTAAAAAAAAAAAAATTTTATAGAGTAAAAAGACGCCTTCAAACAGCTTGCATTTTCAATGCACGAGTTATTTTTATAGTGATTTTCCAAGCGCAGCTTAGATGTGGCACAAGGCCGAAAGAAGAGGGTACCCAGTGAGGATCGAACTCACTACTCAGTCGTAATTAGCTCTAGCGAGACAAGCTTGTTAACTATTACACCGCCTTGAGGTGCCCCACGAGTTATTTTTATAGGCACTGCCCAGAACGATAAGTTGTGGCTATAAAATTCTTGGAATAGCGAATTATATCACCCGAGTCTAGAGCAGTAGTTTCTAGATCATACCCCAGGTTATATTTCACCCTTTTGAACATTTCGACGTGGTGTAATGGTTAACGAGCGTGCCTCGTTAGATCAAATGGGATGAACATGTGAGGGACGATGACGAGAAAAAAGAAACAAAAAAGGAAACTTCTGCTTAACATCGGGAAGAGACAGTTGGAATTTCTAGGGTACATAATGAGGAAAGAGGGCTTGGAAAATCTGATACTCACAAGACAGATTAAAGGCAAGACGGGTATAGAAAAACAACGCTAACCTACCTAGTGAGCTTGAGTAAATGGATATCGGAAAAGGGTTTAGGGGAGATAACAAAAAGACAAAATTTATTAAGAGCTACAAAGGATGTTGTGGAGAGCAATGATCGCCTACGTCATGTAAGAAATGGGTTCGATCCTCACTGGTGCTTCATACGTTCGATCTAAACTACGCTTAGTAAATTTTTATATTTCTCCCCTTACAATCTAATTCTTTATTTTGAAGTTTTATTTAATAATATTTTCGGCTTTATATTTTTAGTGTGATATTTATTGAAACAGTTTATGAACCAAATTAAAATAAAATGAAAAACCAAAAAAAAGAACAAATCCTTATTTCAAATGATAATAAGCCTTCCATTTTATTTAATGCCATATTCCTTATGCGGTTAAAATTCCAATCCCGCCGTTGGAAAATTACTGATCTTAGATGAAACCTTACTTCTTGACAGAACATTTCTATTCCTTCCTGCATTTAGACGTTCAGAGAGAGAGAGAGAGAGAGAGAGAGAGAGAGAAACTACCTGACGAGTGACAGAAGGATTACAAAACGGTTCGTCTACGAAACTATTGAGTCAAAGTGCTGAATATAACATCAATGAGCTAAGTAACAAATTTTTTTTGTATTAATTATATATATATATATAGCGGCTTGGATTGAGGAATTGCAGAGCCGAGTTCGAATTCCAGTCGAATCGATTACATTCACTTACGTGCTAATACCCTTGGGAAAGGTATGAATCCTCTTCTCCCTCCAGCTATGCGTAAAATAGCAGGACAGACTGGGTTCTATAGCCTTGAATGGCAACTGGTCTAGGAGAAAGACAACTCTGAATTCAAAACCTGCGGAGGGTCGTTTGGGAACCTTGTGGCATTCGGTGCACCAGGTCTATGAATTCGTCCCTTCAAAAACTGTGGATGGTCCTGCACGAAGCCTTCACCACTATAATCAAATCTCATGTGCCGGTGTCGGGCTGTCGGTTTCCTGGAAACTGATCTGCTTGATCCTCATACGTCGAATCTCGACGGGAGAGTCGACTATATATAATCATAATTTTATTATTATTTTTTTTTTTTATAATAAATTACAATAAAATATTTTACATCACTACACAAAAACTTTCATGTTTTAGTAGATTAGATTTCACTTCTTCAGGCGATGCTAGATAATTTGTGATAAAATGATTCATTTTTGTTTTTATTACAATTTGTTATAATAAAAATATTATAATAATATTTTTGCTCTACTTTGTATTGAACACTTTTTAAAAAAATAAATGCTACGAACTGTGGATTTTTACTCCATCTGTTTTTACTCTCATTTGTATATATATATATATATATATATATGTGTGTGTGTGTGTGTGTGTGTGTGTGTGTGCGTGTGAAATAGAAATTATTAGGAGGATTTGAAATAATCATAATTAAGTAATTCATCGAGTCTAGAAGAATCTTGAACAGAATGCAGAAAGCACTGGACGGCCGTTTCATCCTATATTTAGGACTCATCAGCAGTGCGCATCGGATGAGTTACACACCGGAATTTGTGAAGAACGGCACTATATTGAGTCAAATTAGTTACCTCTGCGCCACAGAGGGCCGTTGGTTCAGTTGGTATAATGCTTGCGTCGTATCATAACGGTCCGGATTCAATTATCAGTAGTGGATGCGCACTGCTGATGCAATGCCAAATATAGGACGAAACGGCCGTACAGTACTTCCTGTCCCAATTAACGACCGTCTTGAGGTCGTTTTGTACATCGGCTGTCATTTTGACCTTGTTGGATGGATCAGCTTTATTATTGAGACAGGTGTCGTCAGCGTAAATGCCGAGCTGAGAGCTGATATTATCTTGAAGATTAAAAACAGCGTAGGACCAATGCTGGAGCCCTGGGGTGGGGACATCCACATTAGTATGAAAGGATGTAGACGAGTGGCCGTTCAGGAAAACTTTCATTTTACTATTTGATAAAAACAACTGGATCAGTTCTAAAAACGTGCCCATTGATACCATAACTTTTCAGCTTGTGAAGAAGACCTGAATGCTAGACCCTGCCAAAGGCTTTCGAGATGTCACCGTTTTTATCTAAAGCAATTATCGTTAGTACATCAGCAGTTGATCTGGAGAAACGAAAGCCGTATTGCTTTCTTGAGAAAAGGCTCTGTGATGAGAGATGATGAACCAATTCAATTGATTAGGGCCTCTAGGAGTTTACGAAAAAGAGGCAGAAGGCTAATAGGCCAATAGTTAGATAGGTTGGACGGCTCACCAGTGTTCTTTAAACACTGGAACAACAGATGATGACATCCAGTAAGCAAGGAAGCAGGAGGCAGCGAGACATTTATTATAGAGTTTAGAGAGAACAGGATCCAGTTCGGGAGCACGCTTCTTAATAACTATTACAGGGATGCCATTGGGTCCACGTGCTTTGTGAGGATCCAGGTTAGAGATAATAGCAGAAAGCATGGAAAGTTTTATATGCATATCACTCAACAGAGACTCAGTTCGAAGTGGGATGCTAGGCAGGGATACTCCAGAATTGTTAAGAATAGAGTTTACGGGCAAAGGATTCACCTTTATCAGCAGAGGATGATAACATCTCAAATTGTTTGAAGAGGCGGGGGTAATAGAAACCTTGCATTTATTTGGTATCCTATTAAAGAGACGCCAGTCGTCACGAGAGCCAAAGATTTTAGAGGCTATGCAGTAACTCATTCTCTCAGCAAACAGTGACTTAGCTTCTTCGAGGACTCGCTTACATTTGTTACGAGCAATAGCAAATAGGTTGTTTTGACGAGAGGTGTCATGCTGTTATAGCTGGAAATAGTGGTTCCTGCGTGCTCCGGCGAGGAGCATGCTGGTATGGACCATGGAGAGGATTGCGGTTTCATCTGATATTTCCGGGAAGGGATGAAAACGTCCATGCCGACTTTGACCCAAAACCTCAGTGGCGCACTTTCCAAATTGAGGGTTGAAGATGTCAGTCCAAGGGACGTTACAAAGAAAATCCTGCAATGTGTCCCAATCAGCGTGCTGGTAAAGGAAAGAGGTCTTATGGATAGGGGGTTCCTGTTTAAAGGATGCTTGGAAGGAGATATCAATAGCTACCACAGAGTGGTCCTAGTTACCAAAAGGGAAGTATTACGAAGCTCGGCAAGAGCAAGGAGAGGAAGTAAGAAATAGATCCAGTAAAGAAGCCTGTTTCTCGGTTTGGCCAGGGAAACGGGTAGGAAAGTCCACGATTTGAGTGAGAGATTGGGCAATAGAAAAATTTAATGTCTGTATACCGGCAACATCAGTACCTTTAGAATGTTTCGGCCACGTGTCGTGGTGAGCACAGAAGACAAAGCTGTTCACAGATGGATGGAGAGAAAGTGTCATTTCTATACTGTCTGCTATTGCGTCTAATATACTGAGATCTTGGGAAGAGGAGGAGCAATAAATGAAAAAGAGATAGCTGACAGAGATTAATAGCAAATGAATACTCGGACATAAGATTATCCCGGATGTAAACATCAAGGCCATGCATGTGAATGCTGGGATCTTTTCGGCAAAGGCTGAAGATACACTGGAACCAAGAATTCATTGGTTGCAATGTAAGAATTCAAATTGGCTTAGCAAAGGGCAAAGATATCTGGCGACCGTTCCAGTAGTTGGAACAGATACCGTGAATATTGGAGAAAGAAAGATTTGGGATGTAGGGGTGGGGCAGTAGCTGGTTTAGTTTTATTTCTTTTTGTTATATTTCCATGAGATATGTTTTGGGGAGAGAGAAGAAAAAGACCACCATAATTGTCACTATATGCAATACAAACCAGCCAGCGTGTAGCTGAGAGCAGAGCATAATGTGGCCTCAGAATTGCCCATCGGAAATACATTTAGCGACACCTACCCATGCATGACATGACACTACAGGTATCCCGATATTATGTAACTGTTGATCAGAGCAGCCTCTCTAAGCGCTACCAAAGAGTTCGGGCTCCTAACGGCCAGTCGGAATCAGCGGCTAGCAAACTGCTAACCCGGTGCCATCATAATGGAATCTCACAGCCACTGGTTAGTTTGATCAACAAAGACTTAAGACAGTTAAATCATTGAGGCCCTGGTAAGAGAAAGAAAGAAAGAGAACCGGTAAACCATATCTTGAACAGGGAACAAGAGATGAACATCTACTTCTGTTTAATGGAAGGACGATAGATGAGCCTATCTACTCCTATTACCAATGAGCAATGAATTTGTAAGCCAGTATTTGAAATATTAGTAGAGTAACCATCGTAACTTAGATTAGTACACTGTTTGTAGTAAAAATGTTTTCCCTTTACGCTCTACTGGCTTTCGTATCCTCAAGCCTCCTGCTTCTCCGTGAGGAATTATGTTTTTTTCATCATTGGTAGAGCAAATGTGGGAGAAAATTCAGAGATATTGGCCAAAGGTATCGCAGTAGCATCCTAACTATACTAAGTATCGCCAACCGTTGGTTCTGCTGGAGAAATCCGCCCGCCAAAGAAAACATTGCTGACCAAACAGTCTGACGAAAACAATGCTCAGCAACTGTAATCCACCAGCCTGCTGCGATTGACTTCCCTGTATACCTGGCATAGGGAGCTTAGGAGTTGCTATGGCTTGCTCATGGTCTCACCCTAACTAAACGAAAGGAGGGTGTTGGCTTACTTCTCCACCAAAAAGATCGGTCTCACACCGCTGCCCAAAAGCTTTGACAGTCTTGTCGGGAGATACTTACTCTCCCCTTTGTAACCTCTTTTCTCGCAGACGCAACGTCGCTACTCTGTCGCTGTTTCCATAGCAAATGCTCATACGAGCACCATTCTCTAGTTCTACCTGTTCAGATCTTTATAACGGGCACTCCACGCTGCTTACACAAAGTTGAATCACCCCATAGCTATTTACAGTTATTTATTTATTTATTTATTTATTTTGTCCTCATCTTTATTGTCATATTCACGACGTTTCGGTCCCCTTCAGATGATATACGTTGAAATTTAGAACTGGGGTAGATTGTTCTAGTTCCACGTGCCAGGCCATTTCTATACATTTTTTTTAGTAACTCAAGATTTTTTTGTTCACCTCTGCTGTGGCCAGGTATTGAACTCACAACTCTTCGGTTCAAGTCACTGGATTATTTCAACCAACGCTTTTATCCACTAAGTCATGTGTCCTTGACAGAAGCCTATAGGTATTTCGACACTATTCGCATGGCAAATGAATTAATGAAATAAATAATTATTGACCGATTTTATCATTGTGATATTTTTGCATTATATCAAGTATTAAGAATATAGTAACTAGAGTTTTTTCGTTTTTTTTTTGTTTTGGGGTTAGGGATTGAACTCACAACTCTTTGGATCAAGTCACGTTTTGGGTCAATCAATCAACGCTTTTTGCTACTGGGCCGTAGGGAAAAATAACATATTTTGATGAATTGCAATTTGGTGATTAATTATTTAAGGCTTCGAAAATTTGGCTTCTTCTTTTGGCGTTTTAAATAAGCGCTTAATTTCGATTTGCTTAACTCATCATTTTTTATTCTTCTTCTTCCGTAAAGCGACTTCCTCTGCGCCTGCGCGCCTGCGTGTGTATTCTGTCTGTCATGGCACGAGTTTATCATCAGTTAAAAGAACGTGACAATAGATGACTCCACGTGAGAAATAAAGGATTAGGACTCATGCTTTATTTATTCACGAAAATTATGCTGTGGCTGGTGTTAAAAGGCCAAACCAAGTAAACGTTGTTGGCAGTTTTATGCGCATGTACTTTTTCGTATATTTACATACCTAATGATTTAATCTTACATTTCTTTCTTTCTTTCTTTCTTTCTTTCTTTCTTTCTTTCTTTCTTTCTTTGTCTTTGTCTCTCTCTCACACACACAAACACTCGCATATACAGATACATCAATATTAAAAACGATTATATATGTATTATAGTTATTAATATGTGCACTTCTTATTTGAAATAGCCGCCCCATTTATATCTATAAGACAATATGCATGACGTCCAACGATCTGCACATTCGAGAAATCTAAGTAAAGAAAATGAATCGAACCTGCACCCCCACCTCTTTAGGAGAAGCTACCGTTTGATCCGACATGCTACGAAGATCTTCAGAGAAAGCAAAGTTCTTTTTACCCTATTTAAGGAAACCACACCCAGTTCCCTTAGATTATTTTCTCGAGTGACCATATTTTCTGAGTTTCGGATCCGAAACGTAAACAAAGCAATTTCTAAAGAATTAATGGATTTATTATTAATCCAACATTTTCATTATTTCAAACGTTATTATAGTGAACAATTCTTATTTGACACACACACACACACACACACATATATATATATATATCAATGGTGTTCCCCCAAAATGTTCTTACTCTTTAAATGATAATAAATGCAGTGTTTATTGACTTGCATACAAGATGAATGGTTGAAATTAAGAAAGATTAATGTTTATTGACTTACAAAGAAGATTAACGGTTTAAATTAAATGTTCAATGAAATTAAATGCATGTATTTGAAAAAAGAAAAAATGCAAAAAGTTATAGGAAGTCAAAAAGTGAGTACATTGTTTGGTCACCTATATATATATATATATATATATATATATATATATATATATATATATATAGGGGGTGACCAAACAATGTACAATATATATATATACTACAGTTAAAAGTTCGAGGGGACCACTGGTACTTTTTAATTTGGTCTAAAAAGTAGTGATTTTGTACTTTATAAAGATAACATTTTTATACATGGCTAAAAAGATTATGAGACATGATTTTTTTATGAGAAATTTGATTACGACAAAAAAAAAAAAAAAAAAAAAAAAAAACAAACAAAAAAAAATCAGAAGAAGGTTATGATTAAATTTTGCTCTCGTTAAAATAAGCTCCAGTTTGATGTGATTACTGCAGCACAAATTTTGGCATTCGTCGCAAAGGTTTCTCAAAATATAAGTTTGATTATTGATTCCATTCTTTTTTTTGACTCTAAGAGTTTTTTTTTTCCATTTTTGGATTGAAAGGTTTCATTCTTCTGTCAAGTTCATTCCATGCTAATTCTGTCGGTGGCTTCAAACTCTAGTATATATATATATATATATATATATATATATATATATATATGAAGAAATATACTCTTAAGGTGTGCTTTATTTATGGAATAAAATGCTCAATATCAGAGTTAGAGCGTGTGTAAATACAAAAGGGAACATTGAAGTCAACACTTTTCATGCTAGACGCAATCGTCAGGCCTTACGATTGCGTCTAGCATGAAACAGCCTGTCGCTTCAATGTTCACTTTTATATATATATATATATATTTCACCAATATAATCAAATCAAAATGTGCAGATTGTCTGGCTGTCAGTTCCTAGGAACTGTGTTGCCTGACCCTCATACGTTGCAAATGGGTTCCCGGTATGCGCAAGTCAGCATCCCGCGTCGATCAACGATATATATATATATATATATATATATATATATATATATATATATATATGTGTGTGTGTGTGTGTGTGTGTGTGTGCCACAGATGAACTTGTGTCATCATTTGTACTCTGGAGGCACCCATCATCTGACAATCGATCACGCAAAGTTAACCTTTCCAGATAGGATAAAACGAGATACATTGATCCCCAAGGAAGATCTTTTAGGAGCTATGACGGATAGGGAATACTGGAGAGGTGTAGTGAGTTCAATCTCGGCTGAGGCCGCAGGATGATGATGATTGACTCTTTTTGTATCTACAGTAGTCAGGCTTGTGGAAAAACTTCACAGTTTGGAAAAGACAATGGATAAATTCAATAGACATTGAATGGTTTTCCTTTTTAATAAAATTTACAAGAAAAATCGTTGACTAATTACCGGGAGTGGCGTGTGAATCGGACTATATACAAACCTATCTACTCCTATTAAGGTATTTAAAAAATCAGTACTGATGTTTCATTAAAATATAATTGTAACGTCCTGAACATTATTACGTCCGTTTACTCAGCGTTACATATAATATAGCTGGATTAAAGTAAATGATCACGAATACAGATGTTTCAAAAGGTTTCAAAATATGGGATGTATTAACAGTACTCACTGCCCGCATTATATACGTCCTGGGTATGAAAAATACATCAGATAGCAAGATTGGGAGGTTTTGAAGACCGTCGATTCACCTCTTAATTGCTGTTGTTCGTAAGACAACACTGACCCATGTTGGTAACACCTGTTATAGTCCCAGGTATAGGCAAAGCGTGAACCCCCAAACTGGGGTGAAAATACTCAAAGTATAAAAATAGATTTTTATAGACAAGATACCAGCAATATATTTTTGTAAAGAAAATTAATGATCCCAAGAAAATTAAATTTCGGCATTAAATGATCCGTAACGAGTATGGCGCTAAACAAACACACGTTGTGTATAACTCTTGGGTTTTATCACGGGCATGTATACTCGCTTGCTGAAGATCGGACAAATGGGTAATAACATCCTGCTAAACATATATTCTTTTCTATGCCGTGTCCCTTTAGAATGAGGACGATCATGGCCCTCCTCCCTTTCAGCTCTGAATAAAGTTTGTGTTTTTGCCAAAATTTTACAGCCGGTTTTTCGCTGGAAAATTTCACACACACACACACACACACACACACACACACACACACACACACACACACACACCAGTATGAAAGCCAAACTGCTTTGGAAGGAGTTGACTTTCATAAAACGATAAGGGCCTAGTTAATATAATGTTCATTAATTATTTCACCATAATGGATCCAAATGAGATATGTGCAAGAGTCTTGGGGGCAACCATTTTGTTTCTATTGTGCATTAATTAGCAAGAAGCCCCACATTTTGGGGATCCGTTTTCTGATTGCAGACTTCCTTTATGGAATTGAAAAAAAACCCAAAGAACTTGTTAATGAATTCAGTGAAAATATAAGCTATTTTCAAAAGTTCGGCCAGTTCAATATCAAATGATGCTTTATTATTCCTTAGTGATTTAACTGCATTCTTAGCTTCGTCATCAATAAGTTTATTATTGTTTATACTTGGAGACAGACTTTGCTATGAGATATATTGGTATTTATTCTATTTGGGCATCTGTAGTTTAGTGTGGTCAGGGTTAAAATGTGACTGAAATTTCTTTGGGAGACCAGAACATTTCTGAATTATATATATTCAGATATTGCAGAGACAGATGCTGATACCCACTGACAAGTGGACGGTGTAATTCCCGGAGGGGGTCCGTCTACGAAACTCTGGAGTCGGGATGCCGAAGGTAACATCAATCAGTTAAGTGACAAAACTTTTACTTATATATATATATAAATTCATTGAGTCTGATATAAACCTCAACAGGAAAATAGAGGAAGCACTGGACGGCCGTTTCGTCCTATAATTGGGACTCATCAGCAGTGCGCATCCACCACCAGGTATCGAAACCCTGACAGTTGGGTTGTCAAGCAGACAACATACCAACTGTACCAACCGGGCCTCGACACCGAATATGTGAGTGAGCGGCGCTATGTTGAGTCTGATATGAATCTCTTCGGTGTCGAGGCCCGGTTGGTACAGTTGGTATGTTGTCTGC